AGATAAGGGGGAGGGATGTTTAACAGGAAGAGGAAATCAATAACGTGGGCAGCAGAGCTGGGAGGGACTTGTTCTAAGTGGATTAGACTGGGAGAATGTGTTCGATAGGTTATGGCTCCGAGTGAGATATTCACCGCAGGCCCAACAGCATACTGATGAGATGAGCCAGAGCTGAGCAGCACAGGGTTGTGTGGTTCACACTGAACAAAGCCTTCACCAAATGTCTTAGCAAAATTCAGGATGAAGTCTTCTCTGTTACATTGGAACTATTAATTATTTTATTGTTGTATAATTTCCACTTTAAAAACCTATTTTAAATGTGAACAAACCATCCCTCTTCACGTTCAATATAGTGAATTTGTTCTGTACATCAAGTTTAATCCAAACGTCAACCATGCTTCTATTGACTCCACCGACAGAGACTCTGGAAACAATAAGTGGACTACTGTACTGTGCTAACAAAATAGCTCTTTGTCATCCTAACCACAAAACAACAACAAAAACATGGAATAGTGGTGTCTTTAACACTGTGGGTCTGCAATGATTTAGTTTCCCACTACTGGCATCCTCCCAGCCATCCTTCTCTGGCTATGAGCCCTGGGCCTGAGGCAGCTGTCACATGAGTCTGGGGGTGACTTGATGGAGAGTCAGTCAGAGAGGGCTGGGCAGTGTGCCGCAACTCTTGGTGGCAGAGGAGGAGAAAGGAGGAGGAAGGGAAAAGGGGGGAGGGGGAGGGGGAGAGGGGGCAGTAGGGATGTAGTGCTTAGCCACAGACCTCCGCTGTGACCCGGAGGTCCAGAGGTCAAATTCACTGCCCCTGACCATGCCTCAAATGCAGCCAGCTGGAAAACGAGGGGCACACAGCTCAAAGCGCTACCCCACGCAGTGCAGCGCAACCAGCCGGCCAATGACCAGAGAAGACAACCTACCAACATTGACACCACGCCAACCTCGGAGGGAGCAGATCTTCTGCTGCCTCTCCCACTCACTGATTCGAAAACCTAACAGACGGACAGGGGGACAGGGGGAGGGGCGCAGACTGACAAATGGTTATCAGGGGACCACTGGTGGTCTGGGAAGCACGACGGCTGACCCCAATTGTTGGGTTCAACGAGGGGGGAGGGGCTTTGCAGGTAGTCCCCCATCACCCCCTTAGGCCAAAAGCCCCCTACTCCACTTACGCGCTTTGGGGACAACCGTGTTTTCACAGATCTGTTTTGCGCAATTAAACATCAGAGGACACCCCGCCACATCTCTTAGCTGAGGTCAAGGCGTTCCATTCCATGTCTGGCTATCGTAAAACAGAGCCGCCGTTTTAACATGGCAAACCGTATTAGAGGGTAATCCATCCGGATCCAGGACATATCAGGACTGTCAAAAAAAAGGTTTAGAGAAGTAAAAATATGACTATGTTTTTATGACCATGTTAACTTTCAGCACTAGGATAAAGGGGAAGGGACTTGACCCTTGACATCATGGGATCCTACTGTGGATCAACCAAGCCTTTTCTTTCACTGGCTATGAGTTATGCAGTTTTTTTTCTTCAACATGGACTCGGAGATCACTGATCTTCTTAAAAGTTTAATGAATTTGTTAAAAAATCTACAAGAAAATAATTCTGACATTTGAACATAAAAATTATCTAAATTCAAAGCAAAATCAGACAAATGAACAACTTTGGGACACCAGTTTATAGACATCAGTTCTCTTTCACAGTACTCATTAGTGGGGGAAAACATTGGAGGGGACCTCAGTCAGCTATCTAAAAGAGAAGCACTCAGACAGCCCCATCATGTATAAGAGGCACTTAATTCATATTAAATAACTGGTCTTTTGAGGCTATGAGTATATTTCAACAATAGTGTTCCTCTTAGCCTAGAACAGAGCGGATAAATCCTAAATAAATACTGCAGAATCTACTAAATCCACTGAGGGATCTGTCATTGGGATTGGAATACGATTTTTCCAAATCCTTCCTCAAAATGTTCCCTTAATTGTCACAATCACTGTTTAGCTACTATAGGGACCCAGAGATGTATCCGAAATCTCATGGAAATAAAGAGCTTTGGGTTGAGTAAATGGTGTGTGTTCTTATTTGAATATTTGGACAAATAAGTCTACAGTCTACACTATCCTCGAGTGTTCATATATGATAAGCACAATGGTACCTTGTGCTTGTGAAACAGTGATGACTTGTGAAATGAATCTGAATGAACAGACGCCCTATCTCCATGTCCTGACATGACTTAAGCAAATCTAATCAGGCTTGTTATTATCAGAAATATTCCCTCTAGCAGTGGAATTTGATATGCGAAACATCCAAAATGGTACCAAAAATCATAAATTACAATACGAACCAGAAATGTTTGATGAACCCAAGGTGGTTACTAGTTTTAGCAGCAGCACATGGCGAAGGGTATTATCCCATGCCAGTGGGTTTCCATTGAAAAAGACTGGCAGGATTGGCACAATGGCTCCCACAACCCCCACAACCCCCACACCCTGCCCCCACCCCCCTTCCAGCTGGCATTCATCTGGGCATGCACATGGGTGCTGCTAGGGCAGACTTTGACCAGCTAAGTGCGTCTATGCCTGACAACAATGGGTTGAGAAACCTCTCTAAAATTCCCCAACTCACTCACTGAGCCAGCGACCTTTCTTGGGCATCAACCCTGCAAAGTTAATAAATACGTATAGCTCAAACTCAATATTACATAAACATTACATAAGAAGCCAAAAAGAAACAGCTGGCACCAAATAGTTTAAGAGGGTTACTATTTTAACAGATTTGAATGCAGCTACATATTTAAAAACATATATTATTCACCAGGGAGAATACTAAAGTCCAAATGGAATACGGTGAAAAAACATATGACATCATTTTTTACTAACGATTAACGGAAACGCCATACTCTGTCGAAGCGGGGCATCAGTTTGGCAGTTTCTTCTTTGTGTTTGTTTGTTTGTTTCATGCAGTTGCAGAAGAACAAAAGCATGGGGGTTCCCATTCTGCCACCGTCAGAAACTTTCCAGCGTGCCCACTGCATTGCGGATGCCAACCAACGAATCAAAGGCACGCTGCAAGCAGACAAAGAGGGTTTGATGCCAACCTCGGAACCTCTAACAACCATTACTGGCGTTTTCCCTGCCTGCCTGCCTGGCACGCCGCAAACAAAATGGCGCCCACCCCGCACGCTACCACAATGTGGCTACATTGTCTAGAAAGCTGGGCACTGGTAACGGCATGCCAAAGACTGCCCTTTTCTCTATACTCGGCAGCATTTAAAAAAACTGTTGAAAAAATCGTCTGAAAGTCTCATTCAAAAGAAATGGGGAACAGAATGTCCGTCCTACTGCAAATGAAGGCTCGATATGTGGTATCTAGGTTACTGTAAAAATAAATATGGTAAGCTGCCAATACGGGAAAAGCTGAGTATTCTTCATCACTTGGGACAAATATTCATAACTGAAAAACATACTTTTCAAATACTAGGATTCCCCAACTTGGTAACTGCATGTATACACATTGTAAGTGGCAAATGCAACATTCAGACACATTTTCTTTTTAAATATCAGCCAATTATATTAACACAACCTGTAGTGTGCAGTGTGCTTTGTAGATTCTTATTACTTACATGATATAAGTGGACCATATTTGAGACATTTTGTGGTGTGCTGTCTGATACTGTTCATTTGTTAACAGTTCAAATGCGGCAGATGCAAACTAGACATGAGAATCAGCGGCACCCTACAAAAGACACAAAAGAGGGTCTGATGCCAACCATGGTGCCAGTGGCAACCATTATTGTCTCTCTGCTGTGCCTTCTGCTTTCCCTGGCACTTATCAAACACAAAATGGAGGCAATGACAATGAGCTAGCTAGACTGTCTGCGTTTCCTCTCCAACAGCCAATGCATTACGGGTACCTTACTGCATGTGTTGGCGTTATCGTTGGAGCATTTACTGTGGCCCAGCTTAGACAGGTAGTTTTAAATAACTTTAAAATTCACACTTGTTATAATTTTTTTTACAAAAGGTTGAGGGAATAGTTGTTAATGTAGTAAAGAAAAGTTAAAAGTGGCAAATACCTAAGAGATTGAATAACAAAACAACCCTATTTGCCAGAATATATATCCGCAGTGCGGTATTGGTCTGAGAAAATGATGGTTCTTGTCAGTTTCCTCTTCTTACAACAATATAAAGATCACGTTCTATCGTAACATCTAGAAATACTATGACCACTTTTGAGTTTATAGGCATTACGTGAATTTCTGTATTACAAGTTTCCATTCAATTTTAAATGTCCTATACATTTGCAATTTCTTACCCAACAAATCATGAAATGTAATGTATATAGTTTGCCATTGTTATCTATTTATGAACTATTTTAGCAATTTTGCCAATTTGATTAATTGACTATATGCAAAATTTTAGGTAACACATTTGTTCATTTAACATCTGTCTCCAAACCACATTTATCAGTAAAAATCTAGTGCAGGAACTCCTTGTTACAACAACTAGATTAAATATCCAATCAAAGATCAAGACTGATATTAACATTTGTCAGGATAAAAATAGCAAATACTGTACATCCATCAAAATGTACAAATTTCCCTTTTTGCCTAAATCCCTTTTTCAAAACCATCAATTAATTACAGTCACATCAAATTATTTGTTTCAATTTCTATTATGTTCAATGATCCAAAAATGTACAATCCATTTTGTGAGCACATACTGTATCTGTGTCCATGAGTAAAACCCTCTCTCCTTGTTCAGAGACTATTAAATTACAGTACTTGTAAGTTGTCAGCACTATAATGTAGTAAGTCTCTATAAAGAGAACTTGTGTGTGCCTAAACAATACAGCATGCACAGCACATACAAAATAGGCACCGGTATTTGGAAAACGATCAAACCAATCAGAAGAGAAAAGCAATCCAACATACTATCTTGTCTTCTATTGTCTGTGTGTGCATATCATATGTTGTTGTTGTTTTTTTTTACTGGTTGCTTTTCTTTTTAAAGGAACATGCCTGTTTGCAAGAGTGTTCATCTACATTGATGACAGGCCAGCTTCCTTCTAAAGCCACCATAGCTGAGACACTCCAACCAGCCAATGAGGCTGCCAAAATGGCAGCGGATATGACCCTTGACCTTGACCAACCCCAAACTCCACCCACCCAACCAGTGATTCATACAGTAAGCAAACCTACCTTGGTCCTGGACATAGTATGCTAGAAACAAGTCCAGTTCCTTGACCGACACGGTTATGTGATGCGGCTGGACGCAAAGTGTTGGGTTGGTACAATGCGGCGACTTGATGAGGCGCTCTCCATCTGTACTTTCCAACGGGATGCCTTTGAACAGGATGACCATGACCAGGTCCAAGCGCCACACCTTGTCGGCCTGCCGCAAACAGTCGATCCGCCGGATCTTGCCCTTCTGGTCAGGGTTGGAGATGACACAGCACGGGTGCTTCTTGCCTGTCACGCTGAGCACAAAGTCCTCACGGTACTCCTGGCGGATGTCCTTGCGGAGCTTGGCGAGGAGCCTCGAGGCCCACTTCTGCTTGATCTCGGGCTTCTCGCTGAGCAGTTCGTCCTTGACCACGCGCTCCTCGTCCTTGGACATCCGCTTCTCATGCTTCTTGAAGTACTTGCGTTTCCTCGCCTGGAGGTTGAACCACGTGTAGGCGATGGCACGGACGTGAGGGAGAAGTGCCTCGATGAAGGGATGAAATTCATCCTGAAAGGCAAGGGGAAGACAGAAAATAAAGAGAAGTTAGTTGGCATAGTCATGTCAAGTGACCTTTTTCGCAGAAGTTCAGCCAGAAGTCATCCTGAACAAAAGATAAATAGAACATATGCACATTCACCTTGTTACAGGAAAAGGCTGACAGAATACAGTTGACATTAGGCATTTTGTGGTTACAATACAGTAAAATTACAACAACAAAATTAAACAATTATGTACTGGAGACAAACCACAATTTCATGACTGTCACATATTGACTCCTATAAGACAGTCAAGTCAATCTGGTCTGAGAATTTATAGGACAAATCTGTTCAGAAGCTGTTTTACCATCTACAATACGGCTGGGATTACAACCGAGAAATAACAATCTAGGTTGATGAAGATATGAGGACGCCACTGTGTTTATTACAACCGCCAACACCACAATAGAATGTAGTCAGGTGCTGTTCCTGTTTCCCCGAGCATGCTCTGACTAGGACTGCTGGGTTGTTGGCACAAGGAGCAAGCGCCTCTCACACTTGCATTTCTCTTATCAAACCGTCTACATTCCAACATGTACTTGCCCTTCACTGGGAATGGAGAAAGGATAGTCTGGAAGGGGGGACTAGAGTGTAGTGGAAAATGTTTGCATAACTGAAGGGGCAGAAAGGAGAAACCTCAACTCCCCCCCCTTTCCTTCAACACAAACAGTCACCTTCCATGTTCCAAAGGCAAGGAGTAGAAGGTAGGGGAAAAAACATATAGTACGCTTCAACCTAGAGCCATTATTGACATAGGTTTGGGACTATGTTTGCGGTCCCACGCCAAGTCCCTTAATGTGTTTTCATAGATGCATGGCACTTACTCAGAGTCATTCCAAAATCTAACCAAGGTTGACAATGAAAATGGCATCTTGGCACAACCTGCAGATTATATGTACAGACTTAATTAATACACTTCCCAATTATAATTAAATATTGCAAATACTTTTAAGTTTAGACAAATCTATAGCCAACCTAAAGTGCTTTATTACAATTTTAACATAAATAATCAAAACAATCTCATATTCTAGTAGCTGTTAGGGCTGAATAAACAGCAAAAACATCACCATTACAATTTTTAGGTCATTAACATGTCAAATTCAATGGCCTTGGAAGAGTTAAACCACATATTGTTCTTTGTGTAAGAAGGCAGATGGGCTCTGGGAAAACCACAGAGATCCAATCCCAGTTATCTCTATGCTCTTAAACTACCCGCTGGTGTTTTCATGAGAAAGCCACATCGTTGATCTGTACTGTAATGTGCCAACAAAACTTGACTTTGGGCGCTGAACTAACACACTGAAGGCAAAATCTTTCATCAATAACAACTCATCCAATTTTTAACAAAGTATGAACTGATGCTGTTATTTTTCACTGTATAGCCCTTTTTCTTTAGAAAGTGAGTTTCTTTGAGATAAAAACAATGTTTTTTGAGTCTTTGTTACTTTTTTCTAGTCAATAACTGTGAAAGTGATAGGACATTTTAAGCAAGACATTAGTTGTTATAATAGTGAAGTTCGTTTTTTATAAGATTGCCATTACCTCACCATAAATGTCGATAGGGTAACAGTAAGGTATATAGGATATAAATGAGTTTTACTTACAAAGTGACCATAATGGCATTGCATGTCCTATTTGCTCCATTATAATGAATTGCATTTATACAGCAACCAATTCCAGCTCATAAACTCCTAACTTCTTCTCTAATATAAGAAAGTAAGCCTAGTTTGCACAAAAGATTAAGGTACGCCTATGCTACATTTCTAAGGTAAGCCTTGGAATTGCATGTGGTGCTGTTTGGATAAGAGTGTCTACTAAATGACTAAAATGTTAAATGTTTAAGATAAATAAGTTGGCAGGGGCCTGTGTGCAGTGAACTTTAGTTGAGACCATAAAAGCACAATCCTCTTTAAGCACAAACTAAACCACATCTCAGTCAATCCCTTACTTTAGCCAAGGAAAATATAAACAGTCAAATTGAGTCAGCCAAAAGCCATGATACTCTGTCCAACCACTTATCACTGTTTTCATCTTCACTGCAAGTGGCTCACATGCAGCTCGAACTGAGTGAAACTTTCTCCTGAAACGCACTATGAAAAAAAAGTATTGTCCAATATTACCAGGCCAAAACCAATTTGGGGTCATCGAAAAAATATATATAATAATAGTAGTCCGTTTATGTGTTTTAGTTTACACATCAAACACAGGTCAAAGGAATGAAGTTGAGATTTTGTATAATATCATCTGATAGCCTGATTCACGGCATTTTGAAAGAGGACTTTTACGCACTCATTGGAGCTAGTTTATTTAGAATACACATGGCGCTACTGCACAGACTCTTTTGGCTTATTTTCTCTCTCACTGGTAACACAAATGTTATTTCTTACTCAAAATGAACTTGTCATCCTATAACATTATAAACAGTATTTCATGCACTTTAAATCAACACACATATTAGACCAGGTGAAAACCATATCAATACCAAAATCTACACAAAACCAATGCGTTTAGACACTTTTCATCCTGCTACAAAATATAAGCATTATATAAGCTAACGTTTATTAAGATATACGACCATTTTCAAAGCATTGTTTTATCAATATTCGTCTGGCATAGTGCAAGTTATTATTTTATAACTAAGCTACTAAATCAATCACGCCGCAATAGCCTATATAATAATCATGGCACATAATCGATAATAAGGAATCAAAACTTAAAAGCATTGCGTAGGCTATACCTGAGTAAGACAAATTGGAGAGTACATCATCAGCCAACAGTGTACACAAAATAGGTACTTCGATTGATTTCTCTGAAGATCACTTTATCGCGCCATTCTTCCTTGCCCGTAAAGCACCATGCAATATTGTGGAGAAGTTATCCGCGTAAAGAATGTCTTATCCAAGAACATCAGTGAGATTGTGGAAGTCCAAACAATCCCATGTCTCAGTTCAAATGGAGACGATATGGCAGATAGGCTATGCTTTTACAAAGAAGCACTTTGAATGTCTTTATGGCTATCTCAATCCGAGTCGGAGCAAGTTAAAATAAATCTCGCTACTCTGGAACCGTGCGCTTTATAATGTGAGAGCTCCATTCATAAAAGCATTATCTAAACTATAGAAAGCGCTGAATTTTGGATCCCCACACTCTTCTTTTCAAACTTGATAGCCTAGAATATCGACCCGTACACCCTCGGTCTGCGCGATACTAACAAATCAGTCCGCAAGATTTTTCTTCTCACTTAATTACATAGTCATACTCCTCCCCCTCCAACAAACGCATTCCATTGCCATCGGCCCACCTTCTCGTCTCGCTCAGAAAACACAGCATAAAACGATTTCTCTTCTCTGCCCCCTACCCCGGGTAAACAGTTGACTGCTTCCAAAACTTTGACCCACCTGAGGTCATTCCAGTTTACGCATGACCCACCACATAAACGAGACTACAATGTTTTCCACCATGACAACACATAGCTGCGACCTATGAGGTCTGGACTAGTGATCCAGACTCACCATTTAGGAACTACTGGAACAGAGGACAGGAACGGCCTGTCAACGAGTCCAATCCTATATTTCACACTAACCGCGGCACTGACGCTTCGCTTCAAGTCCACAGTAATATGCATGCCTGAGGTCGCCTAAACTATAATTTCGTGTCAAACAAATAGTAAACTATGTTTTATTTTAATCCTGACTGAGAGACTAAAAAGCGATGATGCGTAAAAGTAGTCTGGAGTACTTCGCCAATGGCACGCCTGTTTTTCAATGCAAAGCGCGGAGAGGAATATCGTCTTCATAAATTCATGTTAACATTTTCCTTTTCATGGAAGTCACGGCTCATTATTGGACTATATCAGTGGTGTAAATATGGTGGAGCCTAAATCGGAACAATTATCCCTACAGCTGTGCTCTTTTTATCTCAAAAAGCGGTTGCAGAAAACTATATTGCGCCAAATGCATTGCATGTGTAACCTCCTATAGAATTGTTCCACACATTCCAAATGTAGTTCATTGCCAACAGAGGGGCGGGGGAGGTTAACGCAGGATGTGTGCCAAGTTAAATTCTCTTTTAGGCGCTAACTCCTCCGACCAATGTAACACATTAATGTGACTCAAATGCCCCCCCCCCCCCCCCCCCCCCCCCACCCCCCACCCGACCCCCCCGAACCAGAAAAAGAAAAACATAAACAATCGTATATCTGTTAATAGTCTTGTCCACTTGTCATAATTATATTCCCGCTCAACCAGACTGGGTTGTGGTGAAGCGCAGGTCAATAATAGGAAAAATACAATGTTGTAACATTTGAAAATGACACATAGCAATAATAATCCACGTTCACGTACCATTGAACTGTATTGCATTGATTTTAAAGGGGGATCCTGGAACCTGGGTGAAACAAGCCGGGTGCCTTCACATTTCTCAAGTTCAACTTTGTGCTTTGCAGGCTTTTTCTTGTTGTAGGCTAGTGCTTGCAAAAAAATCAACACCGGAAGAGAATTCTTGGCAGAAAGGCGCGTAAAATCAAGTCACCGAGCACCTCGGCTTTTTTATTCCTTCCTCTTCAAGTCTTACTTTTCTATTGGTTTTGGGTTGTTCAATTGCTGAACGCAATCCAGAAGAGGCTGAGTTTTCGTAACTGGGCAGGTTACACCTTCCCTGTCTGACTGCCGCCCGCCTCCCGGTGCGGCTCTGCGCAGCAGAAAGAGAGCTCCGCACCTAGAACTTGGATTCTCGCCTCTCATTGGTCAGTGCGGCGGCGGCATCAGGACTTCGCTCAGTAGGCCCTTCACTTCCGTTCGCTACTCAGTGTTTGTGGTTTTTACTTGCATGTCAATACATGATAGGCTGCAAACTGCTGGACTGGCAGAAATTGTGTTTATTCAGGGTTTATAGATACGAGTTAATGTAAAGTGGCAAACAGCAGTTGAAACAAAAATAAAGCTCGGTAGAAAGCTGAGGGATGTGGCTGGATAAATGTAACCACTCTCAAATTCATAGCCAGAGTTATGGATACAAAATATAAAAACAGTTTGAACCATGTTTTGAGGCCATGTAGTGTTTGTTTACATTTATTTAGTTTACAAACATTGCAGTAAAACAAGCTTATATTTTGAGTTCTGATGGGGTATGACAGTAGAACTAAGCT